CTCCATCCTCCATCCTTCTCCTCCTCCTCTTTTTTTTGCCTCCGCAGGCCGCGCCGCGGGCGCAGGCCGGTCAGGTCGCAGGGGGCCGAGAGACGTGCGCGGGGCTCGCGGGCGCACGAACCGCCCAAGGTGCTAGGGGTTCAGAGGGGTGCGCGCGGGCCGAAGGCATACGGCATTGGGGGGCGCGAACCCAGGGAGGGGGTAACGAGGGAGAGCCAGGAGCGAAAAGAGAGCCGAGCGGAGCAGGGGCGGGAGAGGAGATCTGGAGGGAGCCAAGAGATGGGACCTCCTCCCATTCCTCCTCCTCCTCCTCCTCCTCCTCCTCCTCCTCCTCCTCCTCCTCCTCCTCCTCCCTCGCTCTCCCTCCCTCCTCCTCCGCCGTCCTCCTCCTCCTCCTGCTCCGTCCTCCGTCCTCCGTCCGCCTCTCCCCTCCTCCTCCTCCTCCTCCTCCCCCCCCTCTCCCCCCTCGCCTCCTCCTTCCCCCCTCGCCTCCCCCTCCCCTCCCCCTCTCTTCGGCCCCGCCGAGGCGGCTGGGGCCGCTCCAGCTGGAGGCGAAGCCGCTGCTGGTCGGGCCCAGGCGGGCCGCCCACCCCACGCGGCGCGACCTCGGGGCGGCGGCCCCTCGGGGGCCTCGCCGCCGTCGCTGCCGTCCGTTCCTCCCTCGCCCGCTCCTCCCTCGCTCCTGTTCGGGCTCGTCCTCGCTCCTCGCTCCCCGCTCCTCGCTCCTCGCTCCTCGCTCCTCGCTCCTCATCAATTACCATTGGCCCTCGCTCCTCCCTCCTCCTCCTCCCTCCTCCCTCCTCCGTCCTGCTCCTCCTCCGTCCTTCTCCTCCTCCGTCCTCCTCCTCCTCCTCCTCCTCCTCCGTCTTCCTCCGCATCCTCGCCCTCGCTCCTCCCTCCTCCCTCCGCCTCCGCCATCCTTCTCCTCCTCCTCCTGCTCCTTCGTCCTCATCCCTCTCGTTCCTCCTCCATGCTCCGCCTTCCTCCTCTTCGCCTCCTTCGTTCACAGCCTGCTTGCGTCAACAGAGGCCGAAGAAAATCGAGTGCCGAATGAGGCCACCCTTCGGCCGAAGGTCAGACATAGACAATTCAAGTTGTTATTACTGCACATCAGCCAGTGTGGGGTATCGGCTCCAAGGTCAGATGTCACACTTGCGGTGGCAGTGCGCCTTACCGCCTTGCGAGCAAGTTTTTGGACACCCCTTGCCACCAGGGCCTCTTAAGGGGTTGGTCATGGTGCCAGCTAAGGGCACAGTCAATGGCACATATTTGCATAGCTCCCACACCCTGGCCTACCACAGGGAGTTTGAGAGCACTGTCTGTCTTGCCTGTGGTTGTGTGGCCGCCCAGGCCGTGAGGAGTTTAGCTGCTGTGTGCTAATCTCTCTGGCAAGAGGCAGCTATCCAGGCTGCAGAAGGGACCGCCACCAGGCTCGTCCAAGCTTGCCAAAGATCAAAGGGCCCAGAAGATGGTCCTCAGGTAAACAGTTCAACTCTGCCATTGGCTGGAATGAACCAAAATCCTCTTCGCCTCCTTCGCCTCGTCATTCTTATCCTTCATCCTTCTCCTCCACCCCCCATCCGGAATGGGAGGGAGAACGACGAGGATGAGGATTAGGAGGAGGAGGAAGAAGAGGAAGACGACGATCGAGGTAGGGGAGGAGGAGGATGATGGGGGAGGCGGAGCGATCAACTGGAGGTGCAAGGGGAGTTGTCCTTGTGATCGGGCCTCCGGGGGCTTCTCGTGGCCGCTGCTTCTCCCGGGCGCGAGCCCTACATCTCGCCAGAGCACCGCTCCTGGGAGTTCAGCACCGCGAATTCTTGAACTTGCGGCGAACTGTTAAGACAAATGTGCTCGGCGCTATGGCGAGAGCCACATTTTGAAACATACCCGCCCTCTATCATTGGAGCTATTGCAATGTTTCAAGGCGAAGGTGCGCGGCGGTAACGCGGGAGCCACATGTTGAGATGGGAGCGCTCTCTATCTTAGGAGCTGTTGCAAACTTTTCAGACGAATGTGCGCGCCGCTAATGCGAGATCCGCATTTCGAAAAGGACTCGCCCTCCATCCTTGAAGCTGTTTCAATGTTTGGAGACGAAATTGCGCGGCACCTAAGGAGAGAACAACATTTTGAAAAGGGCCCGCCCCCTCATCCTTGAAGCTGCTGCAAGCTTTCAGAGCGAATGCGCGCGGCGGTACTCCGAGAGCAACATTTTGAAAACGATTCGCCCGCCATCTTAGAAGCTGTTGCACACCTTTGAGGCGAAGCTGTGTGGCGGTAAGGCGAGAGCAGCATTCTGAAAAGGACCCGACCCCCCCCCCAATCTCGAACTTGCTGCACGCTTCTGAGACGAGCCGCAGTTTGAAAACGACCCGGAGATTGTTTTTTATCCTCTGGGGGGTAACGCTCGTTACCCGGGCCTCTCCCCCCCCCCCCCCCCGTAACGGTAACGCTCGTACGCGGGGGGGGTCTCGGTCTTCCCCTCCAACATGCTGGTGCCCGAAGGCATGCGCACTGTGGTGTGGTGGTCGCAGGCGCACTGTGGGCGCTCGCAGGCCATTGCGGCGCTCGCATGCGCGATGCTGGTGCTTGCGGGCTTTGCGCTTGTACTCGAATCGTCGTCGTCGTCGTCGTCGTCGTCGTCGTCGTCGTCGTCGTCGTCGTCGTCGTCGTCGTCGTCGTCGACGGCGCCCGAAAACGGCCTCCGGAGGCCGAAACAGGCGGCAAACGTCGTCGTCGTCGTCGTCGACCTCGTCGCTCGTCGCTCGTCGATCATCGTCGTCGCGCGCGCGGGCGCGGGCGTGGTGCCGGGACCACGCGGCGGGCTTTGCGCTTGTACTCGAATCGCAAGCCACTGTGGTGCTCTCACGCAGAGAGTGCTGCTCGCGCGCATACTATGGCGATCGCAGAGCGCCCCTGCTTCGCCATACCCCGCCCAGCCCAAGCGTTACCGTTACCCGGGGGGCACCCCCCCCCCCCCCGGGTAACGAGCGTTACCGGCCGGAATAAAAAAATGATCTCCCGCCCTCCACCTGCGCAACCATCGGGGCCTTTGGAAGCACATCTGCTCGAGGTCCTACATGGCGAAGAGAGTCTCCCAGGCGAAGCGCCCGGCCCGCCCTGCCGACACGCCTGGGGATTGCGACGGGAGAGAGCGAGTCCCTGAACAGCGCCTGCACTCGCAGGATTCTCCTAGCCTCTGTCCTAAAGGCACTGGGCCTGCGGCCTCTCTGGCCGCCCCGTGGACGCCTCGTCGCCGCCTCGCCGCCGCCCGTCGCCGCCGCCCGGCGCCCGGGCCTGCGGGCCGCTCCGGCTGCCGCGTAGCCGCCGTTGCCTCCTCGTCGTCGCCCGCCGCCTCGGCGCCGCCCGCTTCGCACTGCTTCGCACGGCTTCGCGTTGCTTTGCACTGCGTCGCATTGCTTCGCAAGGCTTCGCATGGCTTTGCGTCGCTTTGGGTTGCGTCGCATTGCTTTGCATTGCTTCACATTGCTTTGCATTGTTGCTCATTGCTTCACACTGCCTCGCATTTCATTGCAGTGCTTCGCATTGCTTCTCGTTATCTTGTATTGTTTTGTATAGCTCCGCATTGCTCTGCATTGCTTGGTTTTGCTGTTCATTGCTTTGCATTGCTTTGCATTGCTTTGCATTGTTCTGCATTGCTTTGCATTTCTTTGCATTGCTTTGCATTGCTTTGCATAGCTTTGTATTGCCTTGCGTTTCTTCGCGTTGCTCGGGATTGCCTTAAACCACGAATAGTTCCCCACAGATGTTGCACAACCTAGTTTGCACAGCATTGATTGAACCACCTAGAGTGCACCGGAGGAGGAGGAGGAGGAGGAGGAGGAGGAGGAGGAGGAGGAGGAGGAGGAGGAGGAGGAGGAGGAGGAGGAGCGAGGAGGAGGAGCGAGGAGGAGGAGGAGGAGGAGCGAGGAAGAGGAGCGAGGAGGAGGAGGAGCGAGGAGGAGGAGGGAGGAGGAGGGGCCGCCCGCGCCTCCGCACTCCTCACCTCCCTGCCCCGCGCCCCGAGGCACCAGCCGGAGTTCTTTCGCAACCTCCTGCCGTTCCTCCCTGCTGGTGCCACCCCCGCCGCCGGGCCTTCTCCATCGCCTCCGCGTCTCGGCCTTAGTGGGCCCTGGAAACGACAGGGCCGTTTTTTTACCGGTTCCGTTTTGCCGTTTTTGTTGCCGGTTCCGACGCCGTTTTTTTACCGGTTCCGTCGCCGTTTTTTGACCGGTTCCGGCTCCGGTTCCAATCCTGGAGCCGTTTTTTTGCCGTTTCCGGTCGCCGTTTTTTTGCCGTTTCCATTATCAAGGGACATTTTCTTGGAAACGGTGAAAAAACGGCCCTGCCGTTTCTGGGGCCCACAAAGGTCTATTGGCTGCAGTCGGGCGCAAGGAGCGTGGAACTCGCAGACCGCGAGGGCGCGGATATGGATGCGTTCGCCGTGGTCGAAATCGGCCCGGTCCGGCCCACTTCCGCTCGGTTTGGTTTAGTCCCGCTCTGCGTCTGGCTTACTCCAGCTTGACCCCTGGCCTTCTTCCCCAAGCAGTCCTTGTTCTTCGTGCATGTGATTGGCATGCGCTTCTGGGTTTCTGCCTGTCGGCCGCTCGCCGCCGCCTCGTGCGCTGGCGCGCGCCCGTGAAAGTCCGTTCGGTGGCCGTCCGTCGATGCCTCGCCGCCGCCTCGTATTTCTTTGACATGCGCTTTCAGATTTCCGCCTGATGGCCGCCCGTCGTCACCTCGTCGACGCCTCACACGCTTTCGGGTTTCCGTCCTGTGCCTCGTGCGTTGGCTGGGTGCTCTGGGATGTCGCGGCCGCCTTGAGAGTGCACAGCATAGAGTTCACAACACAGGTTGCACCTTCGCGTATATTTCACCACCTATCTTGCACTACATGTGTTGCACCGCTTATGCTGCACTTCGTAGAGTACACGCGCAGAGTGCACGGACTCACTGTTTGGGGGCCACGCTGGCAGACATCTGGCCGAACATGGTTTACTCGGACAAACACCCCGACCCCTGACACATGGCGTTTACGAAACGGTCCTGGGCGTTTGCCAAACAGCCCTGCCCTGTGCGATTCCTTTTTTGGGTGCGTTTACTAAACGCCTTTGCTTGTTGGGGCGCTTCTTGCGGTCGGATCGGGGTATAACATCAAGAGACGGGGGTCAATGCAAACGGATGTAAGTCAGAGCGCCGGGTCTTGCAGGATCCTGCAGAGCCAAGGGAGCATTGACCCAGGTTTAGGTGCAGGATCCTGCAGGGTCCTGCAGGATCTTGCACCATCAAGGTCTGACTGACCTGTGTTTGGGTTGACCCGGGTCAGAAGATCCACGACTTGAAGGATATTCTTCTGCCCTAGGTCCGACCCTACTAGCGGGCCGCTCTGCGGTTGATCGGGAGTTTCCATCGAAGACAGGGCGCGTGCTTGTAGCCGAGGAGAATGAGCGGGAGGGGGAGGCATCCAGCCCCTCCCGCTCCCATGCTGGCAGCCTCCACCCTCTCCTCCATACCCTCCCGGGAAACCTCGTGAGGCCACTGGAGGTCGTTCCATCTTCTCCTCCTCTTCCTCCCTCTCTCCTCCTCCAACTCTCCTCCTCCTCCTCCTCCTCCTCCTCCTCCCCCTCCTCCTCCCCCTCCTCCTCCTCCTCCAACTCTTCTCCTCCTCCTCCTCCTCCTTCTCCTCCTTCTCCTCCTCCTCCTTCTCCTCCTCCTCCTCCTCCTCATCTGCGCCTCCTTCTCCTCATCTTCTTCCCTATGAGGGTGATTATTCTGCTCCCTGCTCAACCGGGCTCCTCGTCCTCTTATGCTCCCGCCCAGACCTCCCGGGAGCTTTTGTCCCACCCCCAGGGAGGAGAAGGAGGATGAGGAGGAGGAGGAGGAGGAGGAGAAGGCTAAAAGAACCCCTAACCTCAATGGCATAGTGGAGACCTGGCCTCACTGAGGTCCCCGCGTCTGCATTAGGGATCATAGATCCGATGCCGCTACCCTTCCTCGTTTCTGCCTTTTTGGGGGCCGCCTCCTGGGAGGCCCTCGTCGCCACCGCCGAATTCAGATCGAGATCCTGGTCAGAACGCACCCTGGGAGAGGTCCGGGGAGCAGCCGTATCAGTACCTTTTGGTATCCCCATGAGTGTCGTGCAGTTCGCGTGGGGGGTTCGCCTCTGGAGCTGAAGCGGCTGCCTGGCCAGAATTTCCGTGCCTTCCGTCTGGATGTGATGGTTCGTCATGGGTTCCAGGGCCCGAGGGGGCTCGGGGTGCTCATCGCTAGGGTATGTGCATCGCCAGAAGTAGCGTTTTACTTCCTAGAGGCTTGTGCCATTCCGCCGACCCCCAGCAGAGCGATTCAATGATGCTTTCTTTGGCCACAAAGCTATGGCGATCTTGGGCTGTCTCGGAGCCATCTTGTGGCAACCTTGTGTTTACGCCAGTTGGTAGCCGTTGTAGATGTGGTCGACTTTGGGCCTTCTGTGCGTCCTTCGGGGATTTCGGGGCTAGTTTGACGAGTCGTGGAGGTGTATGTGCGTCCAGTGCAGCGTCTTGACGTGACATTGGGGCCATCGTTGAGACGAGCTGGGGCCTTTGGAGCAGTCTTGGGGCCATATGGAAGTTACCTTTGGGTTCACCTAGGCCGTCTGAGGGCCTTGTGGGTCCTCTCGCATGCCTCGGGAGCCCACCATGGACCCATCTTGAGCCTGAGTGTGGGGAATGCTGAACATGTCCGGCAAGGTGTGACTGCGCTCAACCCCGAGCTCTGCTACCGTCCGCTGTCTCCTCTGCCCTTCCTCCTTCCCCTGTCGGCTCGAGGCGGACGAAAGGGCGGGGGGGGGGAGTGATCGGGCACAGGTGGGGGGAAGCCACCTGCACGACATCTGTGGACTGCAGCTGGTTTCTGGTCGCGCCCGGCGGCGGGCGGCGCCGGGAAGACCGGCTGCCTGTGGCTGCCTCGCTGACCCCCTCACGGTCATATGTGATGGGCCTGTTTTCCACCACCACCATAAGTTGGAGGGGGGGAGGAGGTGGAGGAGGAGGAGGAGGAGGAGGAGGAGGACGAAGAGGAGGAGGGGGAGGACGAGGAGGAGGAGGAGGAGGAGGAGGAGGAGGAGGAGGAAGTGGTGGTCGTCACTGCATAGGGGAAACAGAGTCTCGAGCAGAGCAACACGCACCACGACCACGACGCCGACGACGACGGAGACGAGGCGCGCTTACGATCCGCACCGAAGCACGGATTTGGGAAAGGGCCCACCCTGCAGGTTCGGTTAAACAGCACATCGTTGAGCGGTGCTGCAGCCTCCCCTGAGCACAGGCCCCCCCAGAGCATCAGCCAGACAAGTCGGGTTTGCACCCTCATGCCTTGCTGGACTCTGGGCGCGTTTCGGCACCCTCTCCCCCAACCTCGTCAGGGCCACCGACAAGGGAGAGGGCGGCGGTGGCCGACGCGTCCCCGAGCTAAGAAGCTCAAAGCGCCGCGGCTCAGAGAGCCGGGAAGACAGACAGACAGACGGACGGACGGACAGCCAGGCGGCGCGCAATGCCTGGCAAGCCAAGTGGGTGGTCACTGCATAAGGGAAACAGAATCCCGAGCAGAGCAACACGCACCACGACCACGACGACGCCGACGACGACGACGACGGAGACGAGGCGCGCTTACGATCCGCACCGAAGCACGGATTTGGGAAAGGGCCCACCCTGCAGGTTCGGTTAAACAGCACATCGTTGAGCGGTGCTGCAGCGTCCCCTGAGCACAGGCCCCCCCAGAGCATCAACCAGACAAGTCGGGTTTGCACCCTCATGCCTTGCTGGACTCTGGGCGCGTTTCGGCACCCTCTCCCCCCAACCTCGTCAGGGCCACCGACAAGGGAGAGGGCGGCGGTGGCCGACGCGTCCCCGAGCTAAGAAGCTCAAAGCGCCGCGGCTCAGAGAGCCGGGAAGACAGACAGACAGACGGACGGACGGACAGCCAGGCGGCGTGCAATGCCTGGCAAGCCAAGTGGGTGGTCACTGCATAAGGGAAACAGAATCCCGAGCAGAGCAACACGCACCACGACCACGACGACGCCGACGACGACGACGACGGAGACGAGGCGCGCTTACGATCCGCACCGAAGCACGGATTTGGGAAAGGGCCCACCCTGCAGGTTCGGTTAAACAGCACATCGTTGAGCGGTGCTGCAGCCTCCCCTGAGCACAGGCCCCCCCAGAGCATCAGCCAGACAAGTCGGGTTTGCACCCTCATGCCTTGCTGGACTCTGGGCGCGTTTCGGCACCCTCTCCCCCAACCTCGTCAGGGCCACCGACAAGGGAGAGGGCGGCGGTGGCCGACGCGTCCCCGAGCTAAGAAGCTCAAAGCGCCGCGGCTCAGAGAGCCGGGAAGACAGACAGACAGACGGACGGACGGACAGCCAGGCGGCGTGCAATGCCTGGCAAGCCAAGTGGGTGGTCACTGCATAAGGGAAGCAGAATCTCGAGCAGAGCAACACGCACCACGACCACGACGACGCCGACGACGACGACGACGACGGAGACGAGGCGCGCTTACGATCCGCACCGAAGCACGGATTTGGGAAAGGGCCTACCCTGCAGGTTCGGTTAAACAGCAGCACATCGTTGAGCGGTGCTGCAGCCTCCCCTGAGCACAGGCCCCCCCAGAGCATCAGCCAGACAAGTCGGAGGAGGGGAGGAGGGAGGAGGGAGGAGGAGGAGGAGGAGGAGGAGGAGGAGGAGGAGGATGAGGAGAGGAGAGGAGGAGGGGGTAGGAGGAGGAAGGAGGAGAGGAGGAGAGGAGGAGAGAGAGGAAGGAGGAGGAGAGAGAGAGGAGGAGAGGAGGAGGAGAGGAGGAGGAGGAGAGAGGAAGGAGAGGAGGGGAGAAAAAAAGGGGGAAAAAGGAGAAGGAGGAAGGAGGAGGAGGAGGAGGAGGAGGGGAGGAGGAGGAGGAGAGGAGGAGGAGGAGGAGGACGGGAAGGGGAAGGGGAGTCGGAGGAGAGGATGAGGGGGAGTCGGACGAGGGAGGAGGACCCCCTCCCCCTCCTGCTTCTGGTGTGGCGGTGGTGAAACACTAGCCCGCCAATGTGCGAGAGCAGCGCGCCAGGGCGGGGGCCGCTAGGATGGGGCTGCCAGCAGCGCCGGGGCGAGCCCCGCGCCGCGGCGGCACCTGGCCGCGGCCCCGCGCGCACCCGCCAGGAGGGCTCGGCCATCCGAGCCGACCCTGGTGCTCGCCGTATCTCGCCCCTCCTCCTCCTCCTCCTCCTCCTCCTCCTCCTCCTCCACCTCCTCCTCCCTCTTTCCTTTTCCTCTTTTTTCTTCCTCCTCCTCCTCCTCCTCCCCCCTCCACCTCCTCCTCCTCCTCTCCTCCTCCTCCTCCTCCTCCTCCTCCTCCTCCTCCTCCTCCTCCTCCTCCTCCTCCTCCCTCCTCCGCTCCCTTTTTCCTCCTCTTTTTTCTCCTCCTCCTCCTCCTCCTCCTCTCCTCCTCCTCCTCCTTCCTCCTCCTCCTCCTCCCTCCTCCTCTCCTCCTCCTCCTCCTCCTCCTCCTCCTCCTCCTCCTCCTCCTCTCCCTCCTCCTCCTCCCTCTCCTCCTCCTCGTCCTCGTCGTTTGGTTACCCTCGCCCTGGCGCGCTGCTCTCGCTGGGTCTCCCCGCATCTGGTCCCACTCGGCCGGCGCGCTCGCCGCGTGCGGCGTCTCCCGTGGGCGCCCCGGGCCTCTCCTTCCGTCAGGCGCTCCGGCGGTGCCCCCCCCGCGGTCGGCGCAGGCACCGCCGAGGGGCCCCCGCACCTCTTCTGCCTGGCGTTCCTGGGTGAGGAGCGCTGGCTCTTCGCGGTGGTGCCGCTGCTGCTGATCCGAGGCGCCGTCGCCGTCGTCGTCGTCGTCGTCGTCGTCGTCGTCGTCGTCGTCGTCGGTCGCGCTCCTTTTTTTTCTGTTTTCGTCGTCGAAGGCGGGGGATGGGGAGGATGGACAGGGGGAATGGAAGAGGGAGGGGGACGATGGTGATGATGATGATGATGATGATGATGATGATGATGATGATGATGATGATGATGATGGTGATGATGGTGGTCATGATGATGATGATATTGATGATGTTGCTGATGCGGAGGATGCCAGCGATGATGGTGGTGATGCTGATAATCATGATGATGATGATGACGATACACATGTTGATGGTGTTGTTGATGACGGTGATGCTGATATTGATGATGTTGATGGTAATGATGTTGATGATGCTGTTGCTGATGCTGATGCTGATGCTGATGCTGATGCTGATGCTGATGCTGATGCTGTTGCTGATGCTGCTGAGTTCTCATTCCCCAGTTGTGCTTGTACTTGTAGGTTCTGCTTTGTGGAATGAGGAACTGGCCCGGATGGTCGGTCTGCGGCCATGTTGCCGCCGTCGCCGCCCTGTCGCCGTCGTCGCCGATCGTCGCCGCTCTTAGATTGCATCGCGTGGATTGCACCGCATATATTGCATCGCATAGATTGCACCGCATAGATTGCAACGCATCGTTTGCACCGTGTATATATATGTACAAGACTGCATGGGCGCTTCGCGCCATGCACCTTGGTCCGATAAGTGGACGGTGTAGGCAGACTGAGAGATGTAAGCCGATCAAGATAGAAATCGTTTCTGGTGGCCGATGTCGCCATCACCGTGGTTACATTGTACTTCTCCGTTCCTTATTTTTGTCTTCGTCCATTTTCTCTTCCTCATTCTCGAGTGAATTGGCACACGAAGGCTTCTTCGTCCTCTTCTGATTCGTTCGCGGAAGCTCCTTCGTGGCGAATCTTTGCAGAAATTCTTGGGAGCTTCTGGAGGCGGCCGTGGCGCCTTTCGGCGACCACTGGACAGGTCCTCGAGCCACCATACCGGCAGTCGTGGTTCCAGATCACGCATTGTATTTTTGGGGAAGTTGTTTTGAAGACAATCTTGGGCCGTGGTGAGGCCGCCCGTGGGCAGTCTGGGGGCCGTCTTGGGCCCTCATGGGGCCCTCTTGGGCTGTTAGGAAGCCCGTCTGGCTTGTCTTGGAGCGGTTTCCGGTGTTTTTCCAGCGATCTCGGACGCTTGGAAGACTGAATGAGCGAGTGTCCGAACATTTCTTTGAACCATTGGGAAATCAATGTTTTTCCAAGTTTCGAGCGCCTCTTTCAAATGACATTCGGGCCGTGTTCGGGCGTCCAGCGGGGGTTTGGGCCGCTCAATGTCAGTTTCGATCGTTTTGGGAGTCTCTTGGGCCTTGTGCCGGTTGTTTTGCAGTCGTTTTGGGCCAGTCACGGGGCCGCCTGTGGACAGTTTGGCGGCCGTCTTGGGCCCTCATGTGACCGTGTTGGGGTGTCTGGAGGCCTGCTTGCGCCGTCTCGGAGCGGACTTCTTCAATGATTCTCCAGCGTTCTTGGGCGCTTGGAGGCCCGAGTGAGCGAGTAGCCGAACATCAAACGAAAAACAATCGCAACAATAGTATTTTTTTAGGGTCGAACGCCTCGTGGGGGTGACGTTCGAGCCGCCTTCGGGCGTCTGGAGGGGTTCGAGGGCAACGGGAAACCATCTTCGACCGCCTTGGGCGTCTCATGGGCCTTTCGCCGACCGTCTTGGGACTGCCACCCGCCTGTGTGCACGCCTTGGCAGGGATTGCTAGATCCCTCCCCGGCGCCAGGGAGGGCGTCTGACCAGCCCGACAAGTCCCGCATTCGTTGGGGGGTGGGGGGTGGGCCGCCTTTTCTGGGGTCCCCAGCCGCATAAAAATATATGAGTACGGATATTGCGCCACGGGAATTGCAAATCATGGATTGCACCGCGTAGTTCGCATCACGTCGATTGTACCGCATCGATTCGCCTTGTTCAACAAGAGATAGGTTCTACCATTTCCCCCCCCTGGGGTTAAAGACTCACCATTTCGCATTGCAATTTACATATGATTCTGCCCATCGTTCATCCTAACTGCGAATTCAAATAATCCCAGCCAAACCGGTATCGCCCCCCCCCCCCCCCGCCATCCTCTGCAAACATATTATGCGCGGTCTTGTTTATCAAACACCCTAGGTTTTCAAGAACCCCTTGCAAAAAATGGGACGAAGTGCACGCGCGCGCGTCGTCGCGCGCTCGTGCCGTAATCTTTCAACAACCTCCAGTTTCGGAAGGATTTCAAAATCGAGCGTCCAACAAACATACAAACACACAGGGTTTCGCAACGCGGAGTTCCCACAAAGCGTGCGCGCGCGTTCTTGCGAATTTTGTAGAATACCATAGGTTGCTTTTCAAAGTTTTCATAACATGCTAACGAACGGTCTTCGCGAGGGCATGTCGAAATCGTGAGAACGTCCTTGCGAACGTGCTGGGGTGGCACGATCCGTGTCGAATAATACCATGCGGGCCACTTTCGCGCGTCTGCCGCGCGCGCAGTTCGAATTCCTTCCAAAACCTTCACCGCCGACGCGAAGACGCCGTCATCGTCCTCGGCGCGATCGGCATCTGCGTCGTCTCTGCCCGTGCCGTCGTCGCTGTCAGCATCGTCACCAGCATCGCCACTATCATCACCATCGTGTCAACATTTGTCGACGTTGCCATGAAGCCGCGCCTGCCCAAGTCGCCGACGACTCGCACTCAAGTGCCCGCTGGGATGTGCCGAGCGGTCAGCACCACCGCGGCTTCGTCGATCGCGCCAAACTGCCTGGCAGCTGCGCGCGCGCATGCGCGGGCTGGCGCGGCCGCAAAGATGCACCAGCCAGCGCCAAGCACTCATCGCAATCGCCGCCGCATGAGGTTTGCAAGCCAAGTTGCGGGTGGGTGGGTGGGATGTTTGCGCGATCAGTGGATTGGACAAGTCACTGCGAACAGAAAGTACTTGCACAACATAGGTCGCATCACATATATTCTTTTGTGTAAAAATAGGTTATACCCCCCTCCCCCCCCGGACTTATCCACCCCCCGGGAACCGATGTAAAACGGATCGGATTCTGCCCCAATGTCCACCCTACCTCCGAATTCCTACTATCCCAGCCAAGCCATTGCCCCCCCCCCCCCCCCCGCTATCCTTTGCAAAGCATCGTATGCGCGCGCACTCGTTTATCACACATCAGACGTTTTCAAGAGTTCCCTGCAACAGATTTGACGAAGTGCACGCGCGCGCCGTCGCGCGCGCACGCCGGAATCCTTCCACAGTTCTCGGTTTCGAAAAGATTTCGAGATCGAGTGCCCATACAACATACATATATACAGATATACACATAAACACATGGTTTCGCAACACGGATGCTCAACAAAAGCGCGCGCGCGTTCTTGCGAATTCTTCGAAAACTGTGCAAGTTTTCAACGCTCTCAAGAAAATGCTACCAGACGGCTTCGCGCCCTCATGCCGAAATCGTTCGAACGCACTTGCGCGCGTGCCGTCGCGATAATCTTTTGTATACATATAACGGCGCACCGGGTCCGGGGGCCCGGGGCCGGGACCTCGACCACAAATGTGGGCCCTGGGGGTCCCGGAGGCTCGTCGGACCGCCGGACGCCGTCCAAGATCGTTCGCAGGCGGCTTCGGAACGCGCTCCGATGGCTCCAGATGCCTTCCAAGACGCCTGTCATGACACCAAGAAGGTCCCAGAAGCCTCCAAGACGCTCCGAGAGGCAGCCCAAGAGAGGCCCAAGAAGCAAAAATCGTGCCATTCCTATGGGAAAACGTATATTTTTCGCATGTTCGCCTCTTGGGCTTTCACCGCGTCCAAGACGGCCCAAGAGGCGCCCAAGACCGCCCCAAGACGGCCCAAGAAGCTTCCAAGAGGGCCCCAGGACAGCCCAAGAGGGCCCCAAGACGGCCCAAGAGGCGCCCAAGATGGCCCAAGAGGGCCCCAAGACGGGCCCAAGAGGGGGCCCAGAGGGGGACCACGAACCGCAAGCTCGAGCCTTCCGCCCCAAGAGGCCGCCAGGAGGCCCCAAGGAGGCCCCTCAAGAGGCCCCAGGAGACCCCCAAGAGGCCCAAAGGAGGCCCCGAGAAGCCCCAAATCGGCCCCCAAAATGCTTCGAACCTGCTTCCAGGAGGCCCCCGACAGGTTCAGAGGCTCCCGAGAAGCTACGTCAAACTCCCAGCGAGCGGCCGGACGAGGCCCCCCACAAAATCACAAGAGGGTTCCAGTATTTGTATCCTTCAGCGCTCTCTGGCCTTCTTCCCCCTGCCCCCTTCCCTGCGACTTTCGGTGACTCAAGCTCGCCTCCTAGCTAGAACCTGAGCGCGCGCGAAGCGCGCGCGTGGTTCTAGTAGAAATATATGAAGAGGTGCACGCGCGCGCGTGGTCGCGCGCGCATGCCGAAGTCCTTCAACAAATTTTGGTTCCGGAAGGATTTCAAAACCGAGTGCCCAAACAGTAGAGAAACACACATGGTATCCCAATACGGATTTACAACAAAAGCGCGCGCGCGTTCTAGAGGATTCTTCAGAAAGCCATACAAGTTTTCGACATTTTCATGACATGGGTTCAAGCGGTCTTCGCGCGCGCATGTCGAAATCGTGCGAACGCCCTTGCGCGCGTGGTGGGGTGGCACGATCCGTGTCAAATATAACCATGCGAGCCACTGTTGCACACCTGCCGCGCGCAGTTCAAATTTCTTCCAAAACCTTCATCACCGACGAGGAGACGCCGTCATCGTCGTTGGCGTGATCGGTATCGGCGCCGTCATCGCCATTATCAGCATCATCGTGTCTACAATTGTTGTCACCAACATCGCCACCATCGTCGCCATCGTGTCTACAATTGTCAACGTTGCCATGATACCGCACCCGCCCAAGCCGCCGACTCGCTTTCAAGTGCCCGCTGGGATGTGCCGAGCGGTCAGCACCACCGCGGCCTCGTCGGTCGCGCCAAACTACCTGGCCGCTGCGCGCGCGCATGCGCGGGCTGGCGCGGCCGCAGAGATGCACCAGCCAGCGCTAAGCATTCATCGCATTTGCCGCCGCATGAGGTTTGCAAGCCAAGTTGCGGGTGGGTGGGTGGGATGTTTGCGCGAGCAGTGGGTTTGACAACTCACTGCGAACAGCAATTAATTGCGCCACGTAGACTGCACCGCGTATGCTGCGCCACATATCTAGCACGACGCACGTATATTGCTCCACCCGTATTTCCCAACATCTACCGCAACACATATATCTCATTACGTAGATTGCACGACACATGTGTCACAACAGAGATGGTCCAACGTATATTCTCTTTTCTTATATAGAGTCCCCCCGGGATTCTGAGCACCCCCTTTCGTATTGCAATGTACATATGATTCTGCCCCATCGTCCATCCTAAAAATGAAGTCGTGCCGTCCCAGCCGAGCCGGTATCGACACCCCCCGCCATACCGTACAACATATATATGCGCGCATCTAAAATAATCAGTTTTCAAGAGTCCATTGCAAAACCATTGACGAAATTAACACGCTCGCGTCGCCGCGCGCATACCGCAATCCTTCAAACACTTTTGGTCCCGTAATGGTTTCAAAGTCGAGTGCCCCAGAAACATATCAACAAAAAACCACGGGGTTTCGCAAAGCGGGTTTTGAAACAAATGTTTGCGCGCGATCTCGTGATTCCCGAGGAAACCCATAGGTTTTTGCAACCTTCTCATACAATGCTATCAAAAAGGCTTCGCGCGCGCATGTCGAAATCGTTCGAACGCCCTTGCTTGCGTGCTGTCACAAGGATCCTTTGCAACAAAAGGGACGAAGTGCACGCGCGCGCGACGTCGCGCGCGCATGCCGAAATCAGTCGAACCACGTCGGCTATGATTTCAATACCGAATGTCCCAGAACCATACGAAAACACATTGTCACGCAACATTCGTTTCCCCAAAATTCTGCTCGCGCCCATGCGCATTTTTTAAAACAGAACCACCGTTTTTTTTCAACATTGCCACTGAATTGTGCCAAGCGGGCCTCTCCGCCGCATGCCGAAAACATTCGAACGCCCTTGCGCGTGTGCTGGGGGAGCACGGTCCGTGTCAAATAATACCATGCGGCCACTCTCGCGCGTCGGCCGCGCGCGCGTGTCGAATCCCTTGCAAGACCTTCATGGCCGACGCGACGACGCCGTCATCGTCGTCGGCGTGATCAGCATCCGCGTCGTCACTGGCCGTGCCGTCGTCGATTTTAGCATCGTCGTCAGCATCGCTACGAACATCATCGTGTCCGCCGTTGTCGACGTTGCTATGATACTGCGCCGGCCCAAATCGCCGCTTCGCACTGAAGTGTCCGCTGGGATGTGCCGCGTGGTCAGCGCCACCGCGTTCGCGTCGGTCGCGGCAAACTATTTGGCCGTTGCACTCGCGAGCACGCTCAGGCTCACGCGGCCGCTAAGATGCACCAGCCAACACCAAACACTCATCACAATCGCGTCCATATTGGCTTTTCAAAGCAAAGTTGCGGGTGGGCGGGTGGGATGATTGCGCGAACGGTGGACTCGACAATTTCAAGTTCGGCAGGGTGTACGCACCACATAGTTTCCACCGAATAGATTGCACCGCTGATATCGCACAACGTAGATAGCACCACATGTGTTGCTGCACATGGGTTGCGCAACATCTATTGCTATCAACGCACACCCTTTAGGGTCCACGCTGGCTCTCTTTTTCCGAAGAATAATCATTGCTGGTTCCTCCCCATCTGGTGCACATTTTTTTCCAGGGACGTGCCTCTTCCAGGGCTCGCACCGTTTTGTTTACAAGAGGAAGGCATTCGCGTCAGAAGGTGCCCCTGGCCGCCAGTTTACCAACACAGCGGCTTTCGCCTGATATTTCCTCATCATTAATTCTGAATCGCGCTCTCGCGCGGTACTTCCTCACAATTGGTCAATTTATCTCAGCATCCAGTTCTCGCGTGGGACTTCTTCGCAATTTACCCATACGCCGCGCCCACGACATTCGGGTACCACGTTCTCGTTGTGGGCGTCTTTACGATTTTCTTGGGAGTCTTGCTTTCTCTCTCGAGACTTCTTGTGATGCATGCCTGACGCTTCAGCGACCCGCCCGCTCGACCTGGCCGTCTGGGTCTGCCCGCCCGGCCCCCGCCCGTTAGGGCCCGCCCGCCCGACCCGCCCGCTTGGTTCTGCCAGTCGTTGTCTGTTCCTACCCCTCCTGCTGAGCTCTGTCGTGCTCCGTCCTCGTTCCTCCCCATTGCCCCTTCCTTGCGTCCTCCCTCTCTTCTCCTGTTTTAGGGGCTGCGCCAACCACACGTGGCAGGCAGGGAAGATCTGACCCCCCCGGGGGGGGGGAACATTCGAAGACCAAGAGGGCGGGCATCGAGGGTTTGGGTTGTACATGTTGAGTGACACGCGAGCAGGTTAGGTTGAACGATCCACGCGGGTGCAGAAACAAAGGCCGACGGCGACACGACAGCAGCCAGCCGCATTCTGCTCGCATAGCCTCACCGTCTCTCTCTCTCTCTCTCAATTGTTTGTTTCTTTCTCTCTCTCTCTCTCTCTGGAGCGTTGGCTCGCCACTCCCCCTTTCAGAGAGAGCGATCGGGACGTCGAGGCCGCAGGACCCGGCAGAGCCCACCGCGTCCGAGACCGAATCGTTTTACTACGGTCGAGGCCTCGAAGTAGTTTCGATCCTACGGGGCAGAGGGTTAATTCTAGACGCTTCGCGTATCCCCACCAGCCCGTCCAGAAACGACGCCCAGGCGAGTAGAGGGTCGTCCTGAGGGGCTTTTCGGCGTCTTGGGTGCCTCGGGGGGGCCTCTGTGGGCCGTTCGGGATCCTCTTTGGGGCCTCCTGGGGGCCTCTTGGGGCCTCTTGGGGCCATCTTGGGGTGGAAGAGGAAACGCCCTAAACCACCGACGCCCAGAGGGCTGGTGGGATTAGCGGCGGCGTCGTTGTTGCTGTATGTGTATTTCTTGACGCCATTCCGTTGCGTGAGCAGTCCCACCCCTTACTCGACAAGCTGCGTGCCGTCTGCTCATGAGCAGCTCACACTCCACTCTGCCCGTCCACTGTCCCTTTACCAGTTCCCCCTCGTCAGCATGAGGCTCGGCATGAAACAAGGAGAGCTGCAAACCGCTCTCCAGGCGACTCGACCCAGGTCACGCTCGACAGCGACGAGCTCGCAGTCATCAGGCCTGGAGACAGGACCATAGAGGAGGGAGAGCCAGGGGCAAAGTAAGTACACACTCTGGAGCAATCACATCACGTATGTTCACGTGGCACCGCATGGTAGTCATGCAGGCAAGGAAGGTGACGCCCACAGTGATATCTCCTTCCTCCTCAGTCACCGCCGCCTCCTCCTTCCTCTTGCCTCCCTGCTCCTTGTTTTTCTTCTGTATGCCCTCTCCTCCCTCATCCCTGTTCCCTGTTCCATCCTTTCCCCCCTTTCTCATACTCCTCCCTCCCTCTCCCCCTTCCCTTCCCTCCAGAGGAGCAGGAACATTAATATGATAAGAAGGGTGATAATGGTGGTGGTGATGATTTTGGCGATGATGGTGATGCTGGTGTTGATGGTGATGCTGAGAAGGAGGAGGAAGACGACGACGATGACAATGAGCAGGAGGAGGAGGAGGAGGAGGAGGTGGATGAAGAGGAGAGGGCCGAGGCAGAGATGGAGGCGGAGGCGGAGGAGGAGGATAAGGAGGAGGATGCGGAGCGTGGAGCATGTATTGTCCTGTGCCCAAAGACCCAGGTCTGGAAGGAAAAGACAGCTGTGAACACACAACAGGGAAACGGGAGCATCAGCCACCATCGCGGTGCAGCGCACTTCGAGTGGCCCCGCCCATTGCTAGCGACGCGGCGCAGGCGCACGCAAGCGTGGCGTTCTGAGGCACGAGCAACATGCCCAACCTCCTGGCCTCCCTCCTGAGCGTGACGAGCTGCAGCCTGGCATGTAGAGCAACGTGCGTAAGGCTGGACACCTCCAGCGGCGGTAGCGGCAGCGCTCCAATGATCAATACCCTGCTGCCATGGGTCGGGGCCAAAGGCGGGAGAAGGAGCAGGAGGACGAGGAGGAGGATGACGAGGGGGAGGAGGACGAGGGGAGGAGAAGGACGGAGGAGGAGGAGGATGACGACGAGGGGGAGGAGGAGGAGGCAAGGCAAGGCAAGGCGGCAAGGCAACTCTAGGGTGGTATCATATGTGCCTACTTACTTAACAAGTTGTACAAGACCAGCACCTGAGTGGCATCAGTGATGCAGCTTCCCACAGCGGTTGGCGCTGCAGGTGAAACTCACACGGGCCTCGACCCGCCATGAAACTAGCTTATGCCAGTGATGGGGATGATGGCACCGTCATGCTCTCGCAGGTAACCTCCGCTGACAAACGAGCTAGGATGTTTCGTGGCATGCTGCTTTCGGACCTTGGGCACAACACGGACCCTCTCGGCTCCTGAGACACACCTTGGCAAACACACACACACACATCTTCTGAAAGCGCAAAGCCTTGAGGGGTAGAGGAAGGGGGAGTAGCGGCAGCAGCAGCAGCAGCAGCAGCAGCAGCAGCAGCAGCAGCAGCAGCAGCAGAGCTCCAGGACGAGGAAAGGTGGGGGAGTTCTCCACGCTCAAGCAAGGCCATAAAGCGGGCCGAGGTTTTATGACTGCAGGCACTAAAACGCCTCTCTCTCGAGGCACTCTGCTTCCAGCTGGCTCAAGTGGGAAACGACTCAGGGCACCTCGATCTCGCTGAGCTGGCTCCTCAGGCTCACTCCCCTCATGACTCAAAACGGCGGTAACGTGCCCCCAGAACCCAGTTCCTGGAGGAGGAGGAGGAGGAGGAGGAGGAGGAGGAGGAGGAGGAGGAGGAGGAGGAGGAGGGGGGCGACCACGACGAAGACGAAGACGACGGGCGCGGGCGGCGACGGCGAAGACGACGAGCGCCCCCGCCCCTCCCCCCTAACAGGATCGTCGTCGCCGAGAAGGCGGCGTCGCCGGGCGGCCCCCGGCCGAAGGTCCCGTCGCGGCCGCCGCCCCTGCGCGCGGCGGCGAGGGGGGAGGGCGCCGGCCCCTCCTGCGGGGGCCCCGGCCGGGGGCCCCGTTCCGCTGCCTCCGCCGAGGAGAGCGCCGGAGCGCTGCCTCACGGCTTCGGCCCCCGCCCGCCGCCAGGGCACGTCCGTGGCCGCCGCCGTGCCCTCTCGGACCTCGAGGAGCGCGGGGCGCGGCGGGCAGCTGCCCGCCCCCGTGGGCAGTCGGGGGTCCACGTCCGCTGTGCTCTTCGGGCTCCCTGGGGTGCGCTCTCGCGGCAGTGGGCATGGACACGTTCTGTCAAGTCGGGCCTGTCCCTCTACAGGGGGAGCATCTCAAAACAGTTACAACATAGTCCGGGGCCCGATTTTTCACCATGTTTGAATTTTTTAGGAGCGTGTTTGGGGTAGTTGTAGATTCTTTCTCCCAGATTCGTCTGTAGGGGGACATCATGGCCGACCTAGACGTTCTGGCGTCGCACGGACATGTGCAGGCGTCGCACCCTGTGCCCGTTTCTCGGGCTCCGTGGAGGAGCTGGCCGGGCGGAGGGGGGCGGGGGTCGAGAGCTCCAGGGGTTGGTGTTTTCGGAGCATCGAGTCGTCTGGTGTCGGAGCCAGCCTGCCTCTCCTTGGCCCTGGTCAGGGGCAGAGTCCCCCCCCCCGCTCGGGCCGAACGAAAGGAGGGGGTAGGGAAAGGGGGGGGTACGAAATCTGCTGCGTGCAGCTGGTTTCGGTCCCGCCGCGCTGGGAGGCGCCGGGAAAATCAGCCACGCGAGCTGATTCTCACCCCCCCCCTGTGCTATCCCCCCCTTTCGCCCGGCCCGACCCGCCACAGCCGTCGTCGATCCCGAGGATGGGGGAAGCGGGTCCTGGACCTGGGGCCTCCACACTGGACGAGGTCTTCATCCCGAGCCGCTCTCTGGCAGTCCCGTGTGCCTGGGAAGGGCCCCGAGCGCGAGGACGGCGAGAAACCTCCGGGCCCGCTTCCCTCAGGACCCGTTCCTGCCCCCAGGGCGACGTTGGCACCGCCGGCCTTCGAAGAGCGCAGCTCTGGCTCGAGCTCGGCCTCGTTCGGGAGGAGTCGGCAACGCGCAGAGGGAGGTAGGGGGAGGGGGGAAGGCTTCTAAGAAGCACCCCTACTTCTTAGAAGGCGCGGGCCTTCTCTATAGACGTAAGGCCGAGGCCTTCTAAGAAGCAGGGTGCTTCTAAGAAGCCTTCCCCCCTCCCCATACCCCCCTCTGCGCGCCGCCAAAGGAGGCCCCCGTGCGCCTGCACTCGCCTGCCGCCGCACTCGTCCGCGGGAGCTCCCCCCCCCTCCCCGCAGCGCGGCTGCCGGCGTGGGTGCGCCAGAGCCGCTTCGGCGGCCCACCGCTCGCCAGGACCCATGGCGCTGGGCTTCGATCTATCTCAGGATGACCCAGCCCGGCCCGCGGAGACCTGGACGGCTCGGTTTCCCTTTGGTCGGGCCGGGCGGAAGGAGGGGGAGGAGGAGGAGGAGGAGGAGGAGGAGGAGGAGGAGGAGGAGGAGGAGGAGGAGGAGGAGGAGGAGGAGGAGGAGGAGGAGGAGGAGGAGGGGGAGGGGGAGGAGGAAGAAGAGGAGGAGGAGGAGGAGGAGGAGGGGGGGATTGGGAAAGGGGGGGTTACGAAATCTGCTGCATGCAGTGGGCTTCGGCCTCACCGAGGGGCCCATGCCTCGATGCATGGCCGCCTCCTGCGCCGGGGGGCGCGGGGAAAGTCAGCTACGCGAGCTGATTCTCAGGCCCCCCCTTTGCTATCCCCCCCTTTCGCCCGACCCGATTTTGGGCCAGCTCTTCGCTTCCCCCAGGGTGTGCGTGTGCCAGCCCTCCCGTGCTGCTGCCAGGCCCTCGCTTCTCCTCCGCCTGCGCCGCGCGCGCGCGCCTCCTCGCCTCCTCCGCCTGCTCCCATACCCCCTCCGCCTCCGCGCCTCCGCGCCTCCTCCCTCCTCGCCTCCGCGCCTCCTCGCCTCCTCCGCCTCCTCCGCCGCTCCTCGCCTCCTCGCCTCCTCGCCTCCTCCGCTCCTCCGCCTGCTCTCTTCCTGCCCGCTTTTCCCTTCCTCCCAGCTCCTCGTCCAGCCTGGCCTGATGCAGGTCCGGGCGCTCGCTGCCCTCCTGCGTCAGTCCAGAGGTTGCGAGTTCCCCGATGCGTTTCGGGTGCGCGTCTCTCTCTCGGGCTGTCTGCACCGATAACGCTGCAGCGAGCTCGGCTATCTCGAGAATCCCCAAATCATCGATTACCGACGGTAGGTACTGTAGGACCTCACATGAGAATCCCCCAGCTCAATCTGGAAGGAATCTTCATCATCCTCATTGTGAGTGCAGGGGGCTCTCTTCCTGTCTCCGAATCGCCCTTCTTCTGCTCGCCTTGGTGGAGGCCCTCGGTCCCCCCCTGCTCTGGCTCCTGCCTTCTCTCCCCATCCTCCTCCCCCGCCCCTCTTGAAAGGGCGCGCGTGCCGATTTTTCTTGGCGCCGTCGCCGCCACGGCCAGCAGAGGCGCGCTCTCCGATGGCCGGATCGCGAAGCCGCTGGGGCAACCCCCCAAGGCAAGGCCTTTGGGACAGCCCCGCGGGCCGTTGGGGCGCGGGAG